TAAGAATGATAGTACAACAATACAAATAACTTCAGGCCAAGAAATTCTAAACATGCTTGATAGAAGTATTTTGGCTTAAACAAGGTGTTCATGCTAACGAGTTATTACTGCCAACAAATTCAAAGATGTGGTAACTGAAAGAATAAATTATTGTGCCTAACAACTTTAGATCTCAAAATTATACATGTAATTATTACTATTTGAGGCAAGTTTTCTTAACATGAGACCTAAAGAGATTATAACTTATTACAATGTGAAATTTATTCTTAGGGATAATTGTAGCAAACACCCCAAACCTTTAAAACACTGACGAACTTTTCTCAAATATTTGATTTGTTACAGCTGTCATTCCTAATCTTTTGAAACATTGCAGGCGAGGTCACTTTGGATGATTTCCATCCAAAATACCGTCAATTAACACAAAAAAATGATTTTGACCATATTTTAATCAATTTTTAAAGGGAAAAACTGTAACTATTTATTAATCACATTAAATAATTAAATATCTATTAATCACATTAAATAATTAAATAATAAACAAAAAGGGAAAGAAATAATAATAATAATAATAAAAATTCAACCCCGCCCAGAATGACGAAGCCCCAAACCAAAACCAGCACCACATCCTCCTCCTGCAATTCTCCCGTTCTCTTCTCAGGCAATGATTTTGTAAACAAAATTGATATATATATATATATATATATAAAGATTTCAAGCACCTGACAACATTTCAGATCCATTGGTTAATTCTATGTACATATTTTTTGTTTTTGATGGTTTTTCTATTTGCACGAGGCCCTCAACCATGGAAGAAATTCCTACAATTGAGATTAAGGTTGGATGGTAGAAGTGAACAAAAATAACTTTTTCCTGAGAAAGGAAATGAACAACGAGGCGTTATATCAACTAATCTAATATTTATTAATGATGAAAAGTTGCATAGTGTATTCAAGAGGGATGGCAATGATATAATCGTCTCTTAGAAACTTTTTTTGGTCGAAGCTCCTACTAGTTATGCAACATAAGTTAATACCCTTGATGGACGAAATCTAATAATTCCCAAAAACAACATCATAACTCTCAGCATATGAAGAAGTTGTTAAAGGGGAAGGAATGCCAGTCCCCAAGGAAGCTAGTAAAAGATGAGGTGGTGGTTTTGGTTTGGGGTTTCGTTTGGGATGGGGTTGACTTTTCTTTTTTGTTTATTATTTAATTATTTGATGTGATTAATAGATTGTTACCGTTTTGCCCTTTTCAAAAGTTTGCTAATATTTTAAAGGTTTGGGACTTTTGCTGCAATTATCCCTTTATTCTTATTTATAATTGACTAAAGTTGGGAACAAAATTTTTTATGATTATATAGAAATTATTCATATATAGAATATAACTATAGAAATGCATATTTCCTGCATCTTCAACAAGAATCAACATTTTTTTTTTTAAATTTGCTTACCCATTTCTCGGTCTCCGAGTCTCTTCTACTTGCAATTAATCTTAAGCATATTAAGCATTAGTTTGTAGTTTAAACTTAGTTATTTTGAATACTCAATTAATTTAAATTACGCTGAAAACTTTAATATCGTGTTTGGTCACAGTACATGCTACAATAGATAATTTTTTTCTTTAATATTACTTAGTATTATTCGATAACATACATTAAAGATTCAGCCGAAGTTGCCAACTCAAACACAAAGCCATCCTGTATGGGTAACTAGAGTGAAGAATTCACCATATTTTAACCAAGTTAGAACTGCTTAATAATTTCCATTTGACTTAATGTAGTGTGTGAAGGTTCAAATTATTTAGACCCACGTGCAAAATTACACAATTAAAAACAAGTCGCTTTTAATTATTTCTAGATGATTGGATCAAACAAGTCAACTTATCCTATATTTGACTACCACAATTTGTAAATTGCATGAAGTAAATAACATCAACAAGATCACGGATAAAACTCTTTGCAAATAATCAAAAACTCCAGTCATTTTATTAGTCAATAATCCACTATAAACGAAACAACTTATAGTATGTTCAGACCCGACTAACGCTTAGTCCACTCTGATCTTATTTCCCTGTAGTCACCCTTGATCCTACTGAATTGCATGCTCCTTACACCAGATTCCGACTCTTGATATATCACCTTGGCCCTCCAGAATGCGTGCTTTGCACCAGCTCCCTATCCCTAATATCGCTTATCTCCAATGGATTAGGTGGTTTGGTGTTTGATCAAGAGACATTCTATGTTTTGATCTTGTGATTTAATATGGAACAACAAAACTTGATTAACAAAATATGTTTTGGAAGAATTTATGGATCAAGTAATATGAGGTGGTTGAATTTTGGAATCAATGGATGTTTTGGATCATCAAAAATTGATCTCTATATAAAAAAATGATTTAACACAATTTGGGACATTCATATGATGTATATTTATAATGGGTAATGTTTAAGATGAAAAGGGACAAGAAAATAGAGTTAAAATTGAATCGGATCAATTTCTCGAATAACCCGTCGCTCGAGCACCAAGCCAACGCCAGTTGGGCGACAACTGAGTAGCGGTCAATATTTTCATCAGTGCTTTCTTGCTCGATGTCCGATTGAGATAATTCAAAGTGCATTGAAAAACTAACTCAGAAGGCTACAATTCTTTTATAAATAGTAATCTCCAACTTTGAATGTTTTTTACGTGAAAAAAATGTGTTGCAAGTTAAGATTGAGAATTTAGAGCATAACTTGTGCGACTCTTTGATATTTTTTAGACTTCTAATTACATTTCCTTGATTATATGTGATCTTCTTGTATATCTTTGATATCTTGGACTCCTTCAAGACCTATATAATCAATCCTTAACAATTTTAACTTTGATTACAACTTAATAAACTTTCGATACAATTCAACTAGAACTTGATCTTTAACTAAGGAAATTGCCAGTTATAAATTTAAAAATTGCTAATTATAATTTGAACTTAATAGTGTGGACTCTAAAATAATACATAGTATAAAGAAAAATAGCAATGGGACATGGAAAGAGAGTGGGTAAGTGGCATTCCTTTTACTTTTGATTCAGTACATATTAAGAATGTTTTCTTTTCCGTCCCATCATTCTTAACGAAGAAAATAATGGAGCGAGGGATACAACACCTCCTTTAGCTTTATCTACTCAAATGTCTCTGTTGCTGGTTGGAAAGTCTAAAGAGTGCAAACTAGCCACATAACATGAATATGGTTTTCCAGATCCTAGAACGAAATGAGAATTTTCAATAGGCTTTTTTTCTACTTATGAAACAATGATATTAATTGTCTTCCAATTTTCTCTTTTTTTTTTCCAATTTTGTCCTTTATTATGTCCACTAATTGTCAAAAATACACTAACAAGGCAGGTGGCTAGACAGCAACTTAGAAACACCAGAACCGACGGGGAAAAATTGATGCAGGAGGGTCCGACCGTCCGAGTCAGACGAAGCTGAGTTGTCAGATAACTCGTTGATGGCGCTAACGTACCATGAGTTGGCGGATCGACGTAAGAATGGAAAGTAATCGACGACATTTCCTAATTGGGGTCAATTTTGAACACGTTTTGGTATTTTGGCCATAACTTTGGCTACGGTTGTCAGAATCACGCCCGTGACCCCAATTCGGAAAGCTCGTTTCGGCGCGCACGTCGTGGGCACCCAGCTATGCTCGGTGTGCATCGGATTCGAGATCAAATTCAGCTGTTTTCCCTTCCGAATCATCAATTTAAGTTATTTTTTGCTATTTATGGTAATATTTCGGTTTCCCTTTTGACATAGAATAATTGCTCGATTTGAGCCGAATTTTGGTGATATTGTTTCTTTTATTAAGTATTTTATTTTGGTATGAATATTAGGATTTTACTATTTTTGGTAAAATTCCGATTATTATTATTTTCTGGCTATTTAACCCGGCTTGTGGGTTATTTTCATTCAGTTGTTGAATAATAAAGTATTTTCTCGTTTTTCTTTGTTTTTCTCTTGCGTTCTTCTCTGTGTTTGTCAATTGAACCCAGCCTGCAGAATAATCACTATTCTGCCCGGCGTCAAAAATACTAGAAACCAAGAGGATAAATTAAGTTGGTGACACCTGCTTAGTTAGTGGGGGAAAAATTAGAAATAGATAAGTGATTTTTGCATTAGAAGCAAATCCATTTTAGAGAGAGACAAAAAATCTCTTTGATTATTTATTCAATAGGCAGGAGCCAATAAATTATCGATAAAAATATATCAGTTTTTGTAGTTTTCCCCAGTTGAGTTTCTGCTATAAATTTGGACTAATGTTTACTTGATAAATAAGTACTCCAACTTGTCACTTGTGGATTCATGCTTCAAAGCATAAAGCATCAAGAAATGGCAAGTTCATCATCCTTAAGAATTTCAATATTCAAGGAGCGTCGAATGTGGGTATTATGTACAGAGGACTAAAGAGCAGTCAAATGTTAATCGAGTTATCAAAGATGTAGCAAAATAGGAGGGCAATGGTGGGTACAAGAGAGGCACCTGATGGTCGATCCTCAACATCACTAGGAAGAAGAATCGAATCCCATGCACAATAGTCTATTGATAATCCAATAATTTTTTTCCAAAGCATGAAAAGAACTGGACTCAATCCAAACTATAACTAGCCGTTTCCGGTCCAGTTCGGTTCCATCACTGTATATTGAACTGTTTAGTTCCGTATGTTGAATTTCTATCGGTATTCAGGTCCATGTGTACCCTAGCTTTCATGGCATTTGAAAATTACTTGGTCATTATTTCTTTTTCAACAAAGTATAATTGAAATTTAACACGAACATTTTCATAAGATTGTGCTCTTAATGTCCATCAGCTACATAACACAGATCAAAAGCATTTTACAAGAACACTATAGAGTTCAACAAAATCAACAGTAGCACAGAAGTTGCACCATAAAATGCAGATATTTCATGCTAAAGCATATGAGTTAACTATATTCATACCAGCTATTAAGTGTCCACATTTTCCAAGTTAATCCTCAAAAGACTTCATGGGATCTTTAGGATCAATCTCGGCTATAAGTGGGAGATCGACTGGTAGAGTTTCCAGACTTAGGCCTACTCCCCTTAGTCTGCCAATTATTTCCTCAAATACCACACTTTGGCCACCTTGAGTCAGATGCAAACCATCTCTGCAATTCAATACAGAAACGGAAATTATATTTTCTGAAGATAATAACCGTCTTTGGAGATTGAAAGAACACTGATTCGTGCATTGAGAATGAATCAAGGGTCAAAATTCACAAAATAATAGCCGGAAATAGGATAGGCTAATTGTCTTAGTACTTGGCGGGATACGATATAATGGGTCGGGTCGGGTCGGGTCAGGTCAGGTTTTGCCTCAACCCAAACCCAACCCAACATGATCGGCTTGATCATAATTTAACCCAACCCAACCCGTGTAAAGGTTGAAACCCAAACCATCTCAATCAGGTATGAGTCAGGTTGAGTTAGAGTTTCCAAACAACAACATAATACTTGTAAAGTTTATAAATATAGTCGGGTTGGGTTGGGTTGGGCGGGTTTATTCGGTTTTTATGAGTTAACTCATAACCCGACCCAATCCGCCTACACATCCAACCCGTGTAAAAAAAAAACAAAAAAACCAACCCAAACCGGTCGGCTTGGTTCAATTTGGGCGGGTTTGGTCGGGTTTTGTCCACCCCCAGATATAAAGATTAACATGAACATTTGGAGTCAGCGAAGAAGATGACCAACTCTCATCTTGGTTATTCATCACTTGAGAAAAGAGCTTTAATACTTGATGAATGATGAATTTGATGAGAAAGTATATAAATGAACATAAAGATTTGTACACTTGAATAATAATAATAACACACTTGCAATTAGGCGTGGGCATTTTAATCGGAGGCTTTGGTCTGGTTCCCAAAAAAATAAAATAGGAACCGAAACTGAGAACCGATAACAGACAGGGTCCGGTTTGATTCTTGGTTCTTGAACCAGAACCGTAGGTATTCGAGTGGAACCGATTTTAAAATAATTTTTTATTTACAATTTATAGGCTGAATAAAAAAACATAAAACCTAAAAATCCTAATTTGGGCAGTAATTAGTCTAAAACTCTAAACTCTAACCTTAAAAAATAAAGACTGACTCCTAATTTTTTACCGAATTTATCTACTTGTACATTATGGATGCCATTCCCAACCATAATGCACAAGTGGAGGCCCCTCATTGGGGCCTCGGCTGACGCAACAGGGTCGTGTCAGCCGAGGCCCCAATGAGGGGCCTCCACTTGTGCATTATGGATGCCTTTATGGCATCTATAATGTACAAGTGGCACTTCTCTTTTTTACCTCTCCCCTCACATCAGATTTTTGCATTTAAGATGTTATTATATGTTAATCTTTACAATTTGAGTTTTTTATGAATATGAAAATTCAAGCTAGATTGTGGTGTAAGTTGATTAATCAAAGCGTTTATTCTTTGCAATTCAACATTTTTTACTTTCTTGTATTGTTTATAAATTTAAGTGATTTTTTAATTTTTTCATAATGCATGACAATTGAATTTGATATATTCATTGCTTGGGCTACGACGTATTTTTTTTGTTATCTTGAGTTCATGATTCTCTTTTTAAATATTTTTTTTAATTTTTATTCAAACGGAGCAAGTTCAATATGTGAACCGTAATTTTTTTATACCATAGAGTTATGTATCTAATTAGTATTTTTTTTTTTATGTCAATTTGTTTGAAGTGTAGAAGAATATAAGCATTGTTCGTAATTAAATTATATGCTCTAGTATGCCTCGCTTATGTATCGAATAAGATTTATGAAGAAAAATATTTTTTTTTTCTCAAATTATAATTTAATTTTTGATGTTTTTATTTTCTCCTATTTTCATGGTTTTTAATATCCACTATTTTGCTTTTTGAAAATTTCTTAGATGAATTTTCTCCTTTGCACAAATATTTTCGAATAGTAGTGTATTAGATATATGTACCAAAAGGGTATATATGAAATATTTATTAAATAGATATATATAAACAAATGTCATAGGTAGAACCGAAATTGAACCGGAACCAACGGTTTGGGTTTGGGTCTAGTATTTTCAATAACTCAAATGGTTCCATTTACGAAATATCTAAAGTATAATGAGTGGTTCCGAATATTGAAATATTTGGACCAACCCACCTGACGTCTAAGCCTACTTGCAATTTATTACATGAAAGGTGTGCCTATTTTTGGGATAACATGATTTATGAGAGGAAATAATATCATATTATGCCCCTGTTTGGCCCCCATTAATTTGCATTTTTTATGGTTGAAAATTTTTGGAACAGTGATTGATGGGAGAATGTGTGGTGGAAAAGTAATGAAAAATTTTAGATTTGTGTATAATATTATTTTGTTTGATGAATATGTGGTTGTAATGAAGAGAGAGAAAAATTTAATGTAATGTAACGTAATTTAATAGGGGCCAAACAGGGGCTATACTGTGAAAGACATTGTTATATATCTAAAGTTGAAAATAATCATGTGATTGAAATGAGAAGTACCTTAAATAAGCTTTTTGCCAGCCAGGAATCTGCTGCATTTTTGTCCAAAGATCCACTGCCGGAATTCCACATTCTGCAGCAACTTCAAGGCAGGCTTTAGCGTATCTGCCAGCAGCCTCATTTGTCCTCTCAGGTAGACCTGATTCATTCTCGACAAATGGATTCCTGCATTTTTTATACTAACTCAACTTCAATGCTATCCAATAGTTGCATGCTGCGTGGCATGGTCTCAAATGGCAAAAAAGAACATGTACGAATGAATAATTTAAAAATTTTCAAACGCTATAAGAAATTAAATGAGTAGCTGCACTGAGAAGAAATTTACTGTAGACGTCCATCTTCATCAATTGGAGGAGGGGTGATGAGGAGAATATGAACTGAAGGCCACCCTTTCTGAATGACACCAAAATAGAAACGATAAGATAATGCATCACATCAGAAGCAAAGTTCACAAACATTTATGAATTGAGTATTTTCCTATGGGTATTAGACTGAGAAAATGCTCCAATTTGAAAATTTTCAGTTGCATATTAAATCATGGATATTTAGGATAAAAATCATCAACTGATTCATAAAATCAATTGAATATCGCAATTTCCAGCCATGAAGAGTCTAACAATCATTTATTGATATCGAGCATAGCAAAATAAAACTAATATGACCATAAGATAAGCTTGACTTCATACATAAAGCAGGATGATGCAAATCAAACTTCACATGGTAGCACAAATCTTTAACCATCATTCAAAGGCTTCTGCAATAAAGAAACTAGGCATGGTGGAAAAAATCCAGCTTAAAAAACTACACAGAAAAGCAAGTACTTGATATGTGTCTTTCTACAACAGGATTGCATGATAACCAATTGAAATTGACCTTTCACATGAACACCATGAGTGTGAAATCAATTAATATATTGGACTAAAAGGAAATGATTAATGAGGGGCATGTCAATCAACTGAATTTGGGATTAGAATATGGAAGTTTCAAGGGTCCAATCCATCTTCTTTTCTATCCTGTGGACCGGCATTAAACCTAAACTAACTAAGCCACTCTCTAGTTTATTTTATGTAATCAGTATATGTTTGTGTTCGGCTCGTGCATTCAAGTTTTGAGCCCCCAAAAGTGTCAGAATATCACTTTTTAGTGTTATATATAGAAACACGAAGCAATTGTGCGGAGATTATTAAATACCGAATTAGGTAGATAGAGGGAAGAGAAAAGTTGAATTCATATAAATTTAGTGACAATCCTCGAGTATTTAGTCATTTTGCATAACCTATGTTTCCGTTCCTAGCACTTGCCATCAAAGCTGGCTAAGGTGTGCACTGGTTTATCTTGTCTTCTTGGAACTATCAATTATTGACCCCCAACTCTTTGGGCTATTTCTTTTAACTGCTTAGAGCGTTTTTACAGTTTTATATTTTTCTTTCTAAGGAGGGATCATTGCTCGTGGAGGATAGTGAGAAAAGAAGAGGATATATGAATAAAATATGTCAACGAATCTGATGCTATAGAGTAATAACAAATACCATCCTCAGCTTTAGGGATTGCTTAGTTGGGTTTGTTCAACTGTTGTACTTGCTGTATTTGAATTTAAAGATATTATCCCAACTATATAACTTAGACTTATGAAGTGAGTCATCAAAAACACTCGTTTTTAGGAAAATTTTCTCCTGGAAGTTACAGTTTCAGACTATTTGCATTGGCTATGACCTACTTGGTTATGTTGATGGATCAAAACCATCACCACCACCCACCCACACCCAAAATTGCACCATAGTCCCCGTTCCTTCCCTCATCATATGGACTTGTCAAGATCAACTAATCCTCAGTACCATCATCGGTTCGATCTCACCCACTATAATACTCTTCATTGCTCAAGCTATAACATGTTGTAAAGCATGGACCATTTTCTACATCACATACCACATACGCCACACCCTATCGAGGCCGCATCAAGCAAGTTTTAAGCCAACTCAAACAAATCACTAAGGCCCCATTTGATAGGCGTTATTTTCCAGGGAACTAGGAAAATATTTTCCACTTTCCACTTTTTTGGCTGTTTGATAGGCAAAATTTTTCACGGAAAATATTTTCCGGGTTTCGCCCACATTTGTGCATTTTCCGGGTTTTTGAGGAAATTTTTTTCCCACCAGGCTGGCTGCAAAAAAATTTTTTTTGCCAATGGAAACAAATGTCATAACCAATGGTAAAAGAAATTTCACTTTAATGGACAATTTCCAAGTAAAACAAAGTCAAACGAACACTAAACTTTGATAAAAAAAATATTTTTTAGGAAACAATTTTTTTTTCCTTTTTTTTTTTACTTTTTGGCAATGGAAACAAATTTTATAACCAATTGTGGAAAAAATTATCACTTTAATAGACACTTTCCATGTAAAACAAAGCCAAACGAATAGAAAAATTAAAAATTTTTCGGGTGGAAAATTATACCAATCAAACACACTTAATTAACAATTCCCTGCAAAATATTTTCTAGACAATTATTTTCCCTGCAAATCATTTTCTTTCCACCCTTGCAATCAAATGCACCCTAAGGGTCCATTTGATTACAATAGTGGAATTTGAGTGGAAAGAAAATGAATTCTAGGGAATTGAATTGCCTAGAATTGTTTTCTTGGATATTGTCGATTAATTGTGTTTGATTGATATAATTTTTCACGTGAAAAATATTTAAATTTTGGATCTTTTAGTATTCGTTTGACTTTGCTTTTTACGAAAATTGTCCGTTAAAGAGATTTTTTTTTTTTTTACAATTGGTGATAAAATTTGTGTCAATTGCCAAAAAAAATAAGAAAAAAATAACCGGGAAAGGTGGGAAAATGGTTTCCATCATTTTGAAGAGTTGGTGTATGTGTGGGGGATCATGGAATTAATTTTCCATGGAAAAAACAAACCTATCAAACAATCATTTCCATGTTTTCCATTTTCCATGGAAAAAATAGGCTATCAAACATAGCCTAAATGTTCAGGCAATGTAACCTAGTTTCTACAAAATGTCAAAACACAAGATGATGAGCTTGCTCTTCTTGGAGCCCCAATTGATGTCAAGGACCTCAGAGAAATTCTGGATGGCCTCGGTGATGATTACAAAGGAACTAGTGCGTGCAGCCCAAAGACATCCTCCCATTACATTTGAAGAACTTCAAGAAAAATTACTTTACTTCAAAGGCCCAGTACTACCAACCTAGCATGAGCATTTCTCTTTTTAGCTATCGTTAATCCTACTAGTCAAACCACACCACATTGGCGACCATCCTCACTTTGGCTGCAATAAGACTCCATGGCGTCCCTCACCTAATACAAACCACCACTAACATCCCTCACCCCACTAGCGGCCCACCCCATAGGGAATTATCCCTCTCGTCCATACCTTGGACATAGTCAAATATGCAGATCCCAAGTCCATACGACAAAGCGATGTCCCTCATATCGACCTGTCCCAATTCAATTAAACAATAACTCCTCTCATGCTTCTGCTACTGCCATTTACTAAAATGATCGCGTGCCAACACTAATATTACACTCCTCGCCGATGAAAGCATATTTAAAGCTGCTTCTAATTATGTGAAACTAGATTTTTAGGCTGTCGATGTTACCATGGCTACAACCATATACACCCTACAAGCTTGAATCTTGTTCTAAACTGTTAGGTTTTGATACCCAATAACTCCAGGGCTATGACGTTAAATCAGTTTTGTTGGAATTATACTTCAGAGGCTTCGACCGATGAGTGAAGTGAAACGTTGACACCACAATTGTCTAAACATATCCCGTAATTCACTCGGGCCACTTGAAGCAACCTAATTAAATTAGTGTTGCTCGTGGCCCAACTCAATACCTTGGAAGGCTTTTTTTGGTTGATAGCCCACTAAGAAATGTTACCTATTGGGCCTCTAATTTGATTAACCTAAAAGTCCATTATTTACCTATTTATGCTACCAGTTTATGTATTGTTTGAAAGTGTGTGAAAAGAATATAGCCATGAGTTGGGAAAGAAAGCTGCGTGCCTATTGTCTTCTTGCTTCCGTTTTTGTTGAGGTTGTCATCTCCTTTTGTTTTTATCTTTCTTCCTTTGTGGTTGAAGATTGAGGCTATTGTATTCTACACACCCGTCCTTTGTGGGCAACCCGTGACCGTCTTTAGTGGGCAAACCGTAGCAATCGGTTGGGAAGTGGGTTTGGGATTTGGTTTCTTTATTGTGGTGTCGACTTTGGTGTTAACTGAGCCCGGCTTTCTCGTTGATTGGAGCAATAATATTCACATATGGTATCAGAGCCAAGTTGGGGCTAAAAATCAGAACAAAAAACTGTCCAAAAATCGAGCAGAAAAACCAGAAAAATTCTATCCAGATTTTCTCCCAAAAACCGCACCTGCAATCGAGTTTTCTGGCCAAACCATTGACCTTTTGAAAAATCCAACACCACCGGTGGAACGTGCAGGTTGAGGAGCTTCTGGGTCACCGGCGCGTGGTGGTGACGACCGGCGGCAGCGGCGGCGCGTGGGGACTCCGACGAGGCGCGTGAAGCATTTTCTGGCGACGAATTCTTCAGGCAGTGTGTTTATTTTGATTTCCTGAACGTACTGATATTTTTGGTTTAGTGTTTCAGGTTACGCAGGAAAAGTTAGACGACTTTGCCCTTGGTGGGTTCGACGGTCGAAGCTGCAAAACATTTATTGAATTACTTTAGGCCATAAATTGCGACCCTAAAGCAGTAAATTCGCATCTCTCGTAATTTACGGACTCAGATAGATCCGCTCTGGTAAATTGGCTTATCCCATTTAAATTTCGGCATTAGCGTGTCATCGTGTGGGGGTGACATTAGGATTGGGGTTACCGTGAAGGGGTAACCATTGCTTGTGCTAGAAATTAGGAATTATTTTCTCTTCGTTGCCACGTGATTGAAATTTGTTCTTTTGATAAATTACAGCATATTATCTTTTGTGATAAATCGTGAGTGAAACTGTTCTGTTGATATCTCTCTGGTTGCATTGATAAGTTGCTAGAATACCTAGACTTTACCCATTTGAAAATTCCCTTGATCTAAGATCGTGA